GCAGGGTGCGCCAGCCCCCTCGCACCCCTCAGCGCGGGCTCCAGGGTGCCATGCTCCCAAGCAGTCACCAGCAGGAGCTGGGGCACGGAGACGCCCCCCTCCCGGCAGTCCCCGTTTGCTGCGCTGCCCCTCCAAGGCAAGTGGAAGCCCCCCCCACCCCAGACTCCATCTTAGCCAGGGACTGCAGCAGCCCACAGGGAGGGATGTGGCATGAGGTGGAGCTGCCCCGTCTTCCCTTGCAGAGCTTTCCCCCCTCCCACGCATGGGGCAATTGCCCTGGAACCAGAGGGCAGCAGGGACAGCTGCTGTGAGATTGGGGCCAGGAACAAGAGGGAACAACCCCACCCTCCACCCCCGGCTTCCCAGCCCCGCTTTCGGATACCCCGCCCGTTGCTCAGCCCCAAGATCCCAGCTGCTGGGTTGGGATGGAGGGTAGGGACGTGTCAGGGCACGAGGCGGCCATCAGGGCCACGTCCCACCCATTCCCAGCACAGCCCTGGGCAGCACGATGCACAATCACCCCCAACCCCATCCCCTGGCCCCAATTCTGCAGCCAGACAGGGACCGAGTGCCCCCTTCACCTCCCTGCAGGGTTGTACCAGGTTGGGACTGGTGGCCTGGAGCCCTCCCTGTCCTGGCAGGGCCGTGGGGGAGCAGGGGCTCCGCAGAGCCACACGTGAGGGCAGTGCCTGAGGGGAAGGAGCCAAGTGTGCCCTGCGCCTGCTCCCTTTGCCTCCGGGAAGGGACAATGCCCACGCTCACAGGGCACAGCAGGAGATGTCAGGGGGGTCTCATCCCTTTGCTAACGTCTGTAGGAGGTCGGGGCCTCAGTTTCCCCATTTGGGTGCTTGGCAACACCTATTTCTGCAGGGCCAGCAGCGGAGACGTCCCCGCTTGCTTAGCGCTAGCAATAAGCAGCATCCTTCCTGACGCTGCGCTGGGAGAGCCGGCAGTGCTGCAGGGCGCAGCGAGGCAGGGCTGCAGCACAGACTCCCCGCCCTGCCACGAAGATGGGGGGGAATTCCTGCCTCCGAGGATGTGTCCCCCTCTCCTGCCCCCACCTGGCCCACTGGCACTTTTTCTGGCCACGATTTCTCCTGGGTGCTCCCTGCGCTTTGGCTGGCCGGGGAGCTCGGGCGGCTCCGCGTCGCCCCAGGGCTGTGCGCGGGGTCGGGCGGGCTCCGCCGCGCGGGGCTGCACGTGCCCG